GATGCTGCCGGTCTTGTCGGCCACTTTGCACGTCCGAACCTCGTGGCCGTCCTTGGTCTTGGTCACCCGGCCTGGGGGGGACAGCGAGGGGACATCGGGGTGACCCGGGGGACATCGGGGTGACCCGGGGACATCGGGGTGACCCGGGGACATCGGGGGCACCCCGGGGACATCGGGGGCACCCCGGGGACATCGGGGTGACCCGGGGACATCGGGGTGACCCGGGGACATCGGGGGCACCCTGGGGACATTGGGGTGACCCTGGGGACATTGGGGTGACCCTGGGACATCGGGGTGACCCTGGGATATCGGGGTGACCCAGGGACATCGGGGTGACCCTGGGGACATCGGGGGCACCCTGGGGACATCGGGGGCACCCTGGGGACATCGGGGTGACCCGGGGACATCGGGGGCACCCAGGGACATCGGGGTGACCCAGGGGACATCGGGGTGACCCAGGGACATCGGGGTGACCCGGGGCACGGGGGGCACCCTGGGGACATCGGGGTGACCCTGGGGACATCGGGGTGACCCGGGGACATCGGGGGCACCCTGGGGACATCGGGGTGACCCAGGGACATCGGGGTGACCCTGGGGACATCGGGGTGACCCTGGGACATCGGGGGCACCCTGGGGACATCGGGGTGACCCTGGGACATCGGGGTGACCCCAGGGACATCGGGGTGACCCTGGGACATCAGGGTCACCCTGGGGACATCGGGGTGACCCGGGGACATCGGGGTGACCCTGGGGATATTGGGGGCACCCTGGGGACATCGGGGTGACCCTGGGACATCGGGGTGACACTGGGACATCGGGGTGACCCTGGGGACATCGGGGTGACCCGGGGACATCGGGGGCACCCTGGGGACATCGGGGTGACCCTGGGGACATCGGGGTGACCCGGAGACATCGGGGTGACCCTGGGGATATTGGGGGCACCCCGGGGACATCGGGGTGACCCAGGGCACGGGGGGCACCCTGGGGACATCGGGGTCACCCTGGGGACATCGGGGTGACCCTGGGGACATCGGGGTGACCCGGGGACATCGGGGTCACCCTGGGGACATCAGGGGCACCCTGGGGACATCAGGGTGACCCTGGGGACATCAGGGGCACCCTGGGGACATCAGGGGCACCCTGGGACATCGGGGTCACCCTGGGGACATCGGGGTGACCCGGGGACATCGGGGTCACCCTGGGGACATCGGGGTGACCCGGGGACATCAGGGGCACCCCGGGGACATCGGGGGCACCCTGGGGACATCGGGGGCACCCTGGGGACATCGGGGTGACCCGGGGACATCGGGGTGACCCTGGGGACATCGGGGGCACCCTGGGGACATCGGGGTGACCCGGGGCACGGGGGGCACACGGGGTGGCACCGACCGGTCTCCAGCACGATGAAGATGAGGTTGAGGTTCTTCAGGCCGGGTTTGACGTCCTTGACCAACGTCTCGGCACTCATGGCGGCGGCGCGGCCGGCGGGGACAGGGGTGGCACCTTGGGGACAGGGGTGGCACCCTGGGGACACGGGGTGGCACCTTGGGGACACGGGGTGGTACCCTGGGGACACGGGGTGGCACCCTAGGGACAGCAGGGACACCAAATGGCACCCTGGGGACACGGGGTGGCACCCTAGGGACAGCAGGGACACCAAAT